GGCAACGTAGCGCAAGGTGTGTGGAGATGTGTGGATGTCATCCGCCTGACTGCGCCACGGGTCAGCTCAGGCAGCTCCAAGGTCCGAGCAGCGCAAGGCGGACAAAGCAAGGATGCCATGACTTATCGTGATGTAGACACTTGGCATCAGGCGAAACACGAACCCATCAGACCCACCTACTCACATCTGCGCCACTGCACCACGAGGCCGAGGCTATGCCCTGGAGTCCTCCTCTTCCTCGTCATCATCGGTCACCTGAATCGCGACAACTGCTGGCTCATGGATTCAAGATGACATAATGTCTTCTTAACATGGAGTTCACAGAATTTTTTTGCGGACCGATGTTTAGAAAGGCCGTCCTCTTTCTCCTGAACGGTACCTCCCCTTTCAAGGGCTCATGTTGCTGGCAAGTCCTTGCTTGCTTGGCACATCTCGGCACTGAAGTACGCTGTCTGACGCCTCTTAACCTTCTGCGCCAGACTCACGTGACCCCAACACACACAGACACACCAAAAGCAAACGGCTCCCCCACACCCACACAGTCGCCAGCGTCCAATGCAATTGGGCTTCTTGTGCTCCTCTGTTAAAGTCGAGGTTGTGGAAATTGAGCTCTGTTGTTTGGCCGTTTAGTCTTTTTGCAACCAGGACTTCGCAGCTGCCGGGAAATTCAGGCCCACACAACCAGCCGTACAACCCTAAACCACACTCCCGTTCCCGAAAGGGCAGCTGCCAAGTCTGCCCAAGTACAGCACTTCAAGTACGGCAAAAGAAGAAGAGGAAGCAACACGCAAGCAGAGAAACAGTCAGGGACTGAACATGACTGAACATTGAGTCGGGAAGGCTCCTTGCCGTGCAACCTCCAAGTGGAAGTGCCGCATACCGTCAACGGGCATGTACAGAACGATATCGTGGATGCACATCATCCACAGTTCAAGCAGCTCGTCTGAACTACAGGAACCTGCTGTATCACTGTATCAGTTGTCTGCTATAGAACGGCCATGCAAGGCAGATTGACCTGCCTCATCTCCACTGGAATAGTCTGCCCCGTGACGCGCTGATGCTGTGCTCTCGGCCGGCTTGCTCTCGAAGACGACAGCACCTCCATGGTTTGGAGATAAACGAGGAATTTTCGGGTTCTGATCCCAAACTGAGTGCACAGGATTATGTCGTTTGGCAAGGCCCTCCCTTGTTGCTTCGGTCCAAGCGTCTCAGCTACGGCACCGGGCACCTGTGTTAAATAGAGGCTTGCCTCAGCCCGACGCCGAAACTCTACTGAAACTCTACACCAATGCCGACGCAAGACATTGCAGCACTTTCAACCCAATGATGACAAGACTGTGACCTTCGCCTGGAATTTCCCAGAATGGAGAAAGTTTTGGATATGGAGCAACATGACCTCTGGTATCCTGGCAGTACACCTGCGCTAGCAGCCACGTTTCACTGAAGTGCTTTGCCAGTTGAAAGGGTTGTCACTGCGGTGCGCCCTGAGAATATTCCTCAGGTCATCGACCCCACGCGTTTGTCTTAGGCTGGTTGTTTCTACTGGAGGCTTGGGAAATGCTTTTTTCACATACAGTGGTGTCCCTGCAAAGGCAAGCAACACGAGCATTTGCTGGAGGCATTTTGTCGTAGGCTCCGGTTTCAGCTTCCCACCCACCCAAACACACAGACAACTCAGCGGATTAGCACCTCAGCCCTGAGTCCCGTCTTCAACAAGCAAAAATGTCCTTTTCCCCAGTGCCTGACTCGGCGACTGAAGATTCGGCGGCGGCCTTGGCAATGACCCCGATGACATCATTGCAATGATGTTGGCTTTCAGAGCATTTGCAGCCGAAGGTCGACCTTCTCAATTGTGTTGCGGGCTTCAGTTGCCCTCGAAGCCGCCTCGGGTCGTTGAAGATTTGCATGACGTAAGCGCCACAGTCCATCCAACAAAAATGCACATCTCAAGGACTACTCCTGTGCCCATTCCTGCTGTGAACTTCCTGTGCCGCTCGCCAAGACACTTCTGATGGTGTCGCCGACTTTTCCGTGACGGGCTCTGCTTGTGCAGCCGCATTCTCAATCAGCGCCCTGCGCTTGGATAACGCATTTTTTGCACTCGCCCCAACCCTTGCAAACACCCTTGCAACCTCTGGAGAAAGTCAAAGAAGCATGTCGGTCCTTGCCGCATCTGTAAGGCACGTGTTTTCAGACACGAAGTCCTCAGCTTCTACAGGCACAGCCGAGATCAGGCATCTGGCGACGCTTGGCATGCAGGACGAAAAGCCCAACGGCCCCCAATCTTAGGCAATGGCTGCACGCGAAGTCGCGGGGCTGCTCTCAAACACTGATGCCACAGGCACCTACGCAGACATCATCATGCAACATCATGAAGTATCATGAGTCTGATGAAAGCAGGCAAAGGCACAAATCCGCCGCAAAACTGTGGCCACTACTCAGTTTCAGGGCTTGGAGGCGTACAGGCGCGACATTGCAAAACGAGCTGGCACAGCATACTCCTAATGATCCACGCGACTTTTCTACAGGACACACTTCTTTCCGAGGGACACATGTGCCCATTGCTGCTGTGAACTGCCTGTGCTGCTTGCCGAGACACTGCCGATGGTGTCGCCGACTGCGTGGCGGCATTCTCAATCAGCGCCCTGCCGTCGGATAGCGCGCTCTTATACGTGCCCCCAAATTCTTTGCAACCGCTGTCAAGCAAGCATGGTGGTCCTTGCAGCATCTGTAAGGCAAGTGTTTTCAGACACGAAGTCCTCAGCTTCTGCAGGGAAAGGCGAGATAAGGCATTTGGAGAGGCTTGGCATGCAAGATAAAAAGCCCCCAATGCCCCCCATCTCAGGCAGTGGCTGCACGCGAAGCCGCGGGGCTGCTCTCAAACACTGACGCCATGGGCACCTACGAAGACATCATCAAGCTGGACATTGCAAGATGAGCGGGCGAAGTATACTCCTAATATCCATGGGCCAATGGGGGTAAGGAATTCAGCGTGTCCGATACCAAAGCCTCGAAACCCAGGACCGCCGACAAATGCAAAAATGTGTTGGGCCTACATTTGCTGGGCGGGGGGGGTCGCCATGGCCTGCCGGTAACTATGTACCCCGCTTACGCCTACAGGATCAAGCTGCAGAGATGGCGACGATGGTGCTGCAGCTCTGGAAGGTACGCAGGTTCCAGACGTCAAGCTTACGCCTACAAGACAAAAGCTGTGGAGATGGCGACGAAGGGGCTACTGCTCTGGAAGGCACGGAGGTTCCAGACGTCCCGCTTTCTCGAAGGCGCTTGACACTACAGCTCGGGGAGCGCAGAGTCAGAGGTCCAGGTGAAGCTCCCGGACGCCTCGCCTGGATATACATCGAGAGCACTACCAACTTTTCGGGCGACTTCGACGGGATGGTGGCGAGGCTCAATCCATACCTTCAAGGGCTGGACTGGGCCACCTGGTCGGACCCGACAACAGACTTGACTGCGGCGACTGCTAGAGCTGCACGTGGATGACTTCCTGCTCCTGACCGAGCTCCGAACTGTTTCGCATCAGCTGGTTTTACTCAATGGGAACGGGGACGAGTAGCTGCTCACGCTGGAAAGCAGGAGGCGGGGGGGAAGGAAGGGCCCTTGGCCCAAAATGTCCAAAGTAATTGGGCTCTATCTTGCGGGAGCGGTGGCTACTCCGTGCTTCGGGCCTGAGCCGTACAGTTGGCGCCTTAAACAGACGGGCAGTGTGCTTAAGAGACTGAAACTATGAGGGACGCCTATTTACATGGCTCTGTCAGCAGAGGGAAGGGGCAAGGGGGAGAGCCGCCTTCAGGGTCCTCCATGCTCGTGACACAAAGCTCTCAATCCCTGCAAACTGCGAGGCCCGGCAGCATACGCTGCACGCTTCTTTCCAAGAACTACATGTGCCCATTGCTGCCGTGAATTGCCTGTGCTACGAGTACTTGCCAAGACACCGCTGATGGTGTCGCCGACTGCGTGGCGGCATTCTCAATCAGCGCCCTGCCGTCGGATAGCGCGCTCTTATACGTGCCCCAAATTCCGCGCAACCTCTGACAAGCACGGTGGTCCTTGCAGCATCTGTAAGGCAGGTGTTTTCAGACACGAAGTCCTCAGCTTCTGCAGGGAAAGGCGAGATAAGGCATTTGGAGAGGCTTGGCATGCAGGATGAAAAGCCCCGCAATGCCCCCCATCTCGGGCAGTGGCTGCACGCGAAGCCGCGGGGCTGCTCTCAAACACTGATGCCACGGGCACCTACGAAGACATCATCATGAAACATCACGAGATAAGGCACAGGCTGCAGCATTGAGCTTACAGGCGAGTTCTGAAAATAGTACAAACTCCTCATGCTCCTCGCAACTATTCGGGGGCGAGCTTCGGGGCACACCCACGGTCGGAGGTAATTTGGCGAAGTTCGGCCACCGCTTTCCTGTTGTCGGCTTGAATGTCCCCGAAACAAACGCCCCCATCACCAAGGACCACCTCCAGAGCAACACGTAGCATGTCATGGATATCGTCGGATTACAAGCATTTTTCAAAAGCACGATCGGGCCGATCAACCGGATGTCGAGCTCCTGCCGTCGTCTACGGCTCCCCCGTGGTCTCCCCATCAATGCTCATCGCGCGCCCCACGGCTCACCCGCGCCCTCCCCGTCGCGGAGAAACAGAACAGAAACATACCCCACCTCCTCACTTTCCCCCAATCCAGAAAGAGCTGTCGCTGCAAAGCCCTGGCATGCCCTGACAAAAATACCACACGCAAAGTAACGGCACCACACCTCGTCCAGCACAGCTTCTGACACATTGCCGGCACTGACAGATGCCTTGCCTTTGCGAGACGCTGTGCCACGTGCTGTGGCTTGCTGCAGTCTGACAGAAGATTGAGAGAAGACTGCAGCCTCGCAATTTTTTGGGAATCAGGTCAGGCTGGATTCGAGCTGTACACTGTGCAGGAAATCGTTGCGTTTGCAAAAATGTCCGTGAAACAGCAAGAAGTGCGCACTTCACATCTCGTTTTTGATGCTCGACCTGGCATACGGAGCCGTGCACAAAAACAATTCTACATGTCAGGCAGCACACAAACTTTCATGCACAGGCCTCCCGTGATTGGAGCGCAGATTGTTGACCAGCGACTGATCCATCTTGGGCTTTGGTGGAGGCGGCGGCGGAGGCGTCGGGGGCTTCACATAGAGCTGGCGGTTTAACTTTCTCACTTGTAAAATCTCTGGTGTCGCATTTTCCTTAGCGGCTTCCTGCAGTAAAGACGGGTCGCTCCAGCACTTGTTGGCCTTCTTCATGGCCTCTCTGTGCTGATTCGCGCGAACAAAACAACTGCTCTGTGACATATGTTTGAAGCAAGGCCCACGTGTTTAAGCGGCGCCTTCATGAAGACTTGGTGCCCAGTGCTAGTATAGCGTTTCTCCTGCAAGCTGGACATAAGAGCTCAAACATGCTCGGTCTTGTTTTCAATATTAGTTCGGTTCGGCTGGTTCCGCTGGAAGCACCGGGCCTTGAGGTCATTGTCGCCACTCAGTTCCAGCTGGAGGCGCGTCCTTGCGCAAACTAGTGCAGTGCAACGTACACACCAGAATACATTAGCATAGATCAGTATATAAAAATATATCAGGTTCGTGGCCCTCCACTTCCCGAATGTTTTTGTTCGGCTTCCTGCGGTGAACTTGCCCTAGGCGCCGCTTCGCTTGGTCCTCCCAGTTGTCCTGAAATCAAGGCATAAGGAAGAACTCCCGCCACAGATTCGCAAGCTGCCGAAACAACCCTTGGAGAATCTTCTGGCCAGGAATCGTTCAGGGAACCAAGCCTGGCCACACGCTCCGCCTCGACACCACCTGACATGGAGCATGAGGCCAGGCAGCTGCACGAGCTGTCTTTCACCGATGAATGCTATGCCGAGCCATGCTAAAAAGCGGCGCAGGAAGTCGCTGAACACATCAGTGCGTTCCTCTGCGGCGCGAGGTCGCAACGAGAGTTTGATCACCGGTTGTCGCTTCTCGCCCCCCACATCTCAGCGGTCAGCGCCGATTCAATATCAATTCAGTGCACATCACTATACAATACTGGGCACATCACAGCACGACCACAGCCAAACCGGCCTGAAGATCTCATTGCCCCAGGAGCATGTGTCTTCGAAGCATTGTCATCTTTGACACGCATCTGTCTTTCGCGGCGTCCTTTCTGCCCAATCTGTGGCAAACTCACCTCCAGCAAGCAAGATTGGATACATAAAATCCCCAATCTGCACATTGCTGCCACAGCTTGGATCAAGCAACCGTCCGATTCTTCGGCGTCAACGTGTCCCGCAGAAGCAGCGTGTCGTTCAGCATGGTGTCGAAGTCATCCGTGGCACCTGCATGATGTGGAAACACTTCTCCGCAACGCACGCACCCGCGCACGCATACGCAGGCAAACAATCACGCACGTGCACGAACAGGAACGGACCGCGCGCGCGCGGACTCACGCGCTCGTGCACTCGTGCACACACGCACACACGCACGGACGCACTCACGCATTCACGCACTCACGCACTCATCACGCAGTGGAGGGGGGGGGGGGCAGGGATTTTTCTCATCCATCGCTTATCCTCCATCAAGCAGGAGAAGCTGGATTTGCAGAGGATGAGCATAGGAATTGTGGAGGAAGGACATGACGCGTCAAGGATAAGCATAGGATAAGCGAGCTATTACTTTTGGAATTGATTGTCATTGGGCAGCCTGCAGAACAACTTTCATGATCATGAGCGTTGTTCAAAGAGATGCTCTGAAATAGCCCACAAAGAGACAACCGACAAGCAAAGAGATGCTCTGCAAAGTAGCCCACAAGTGACAACCGACAAGCCTTCAAAGACTGGCCACACGTCAAGAGCCGTGTGCTGACTACATGAAAGGCCAAGGCCAATATTTTGGGGTTTAGGGTTTAGGGTTTACGGTCTAAGGTTTAGAGCAAAAAGGGTTTAGGGTAAAGGAGAAGCCCAGGATAAGGGAGAATCCCCTTATTGGGCAAGGATTTCAGGGATGAGCCCTACTGCTAAGGGATTAGGGCTGAGGGTTGAGCGTTACGGGGAAATCCCGCAATGAAATCAGCAGCAATTCAATCATATTCAATCCCTTCGAATTGCTAAGCCTGAAATCCATTTCAACGCATTCAACCTTCAAGAGTTAAACCCTGCTCATTCCAAAGTGTAAACACAAAACTTCCCAGAACTCCCTTCAAGACTCATCCGTGTTCATTCGCAACTCCATTTCATCTTCCAAATGCATCTTTTGTGTGTCTCAGATGTCGATATGGATTCACAATAGTAAGATTTCAGACAACAAAGTTGTCGTCGAAGCTTTGTGGATTATACCAGGTTTAGCAGAGATCCGAGCATGCTGAAAGTGGTTAATGTAGCATAAGCCATGGATAAGAAAACCACCCCTCGCCCCCCCCCCTCGTGAACCCACGCACAGGAGCATGCACATACTCACGCAAGCACGCACGCGCAAGCACGCAAGCACCTGCACGCACAAACACGCACACGCACTCAGCACGCACACGCGAGCAGGCACGCACGAACACACTCACCAACTTTCTAGTCGCAGCCATCTACAGCCACTACAGCTCAAAAGCTTGGCCTGGACAAAGGTCCAACTCGATGGACTCGGCGACCAGCGCAGCACACCGAAGAGCCGAAGCCTCCCCCGCAATTTGTTTGGCCTTGGTATGGGACAAAGCGCATCTCCAACGATATCATGGATGGGTAAAAAAAAGTCAACAGCCAAAATAGTCCTCGGAACTTGAAACCAAATCAAACCTGTGCAGTCAAAGCACTCCTGCATCAGAACCACCACATTGCTCTGCCCATGCCAGAATTTGGTCCAATCCACGTTGGGCCTTCCGAATGTGGGCTATAGCTTCCCGATGCCGGGCGGCCTGGCAAAACAACTAGTATTTCATCGCATCACCACAATAAAGAATCAGTACATCATCCATTGGTGTGGCTAATTTTTATCACTTTTGTGCGCATAAAGGACAGGGCTTGAGTTCTGGCCTCTGATAAAGCGGCCGCCAAATTAACCCGCGTCCGCGCAGCCTCCACCGCAACGGCAGGGTGCACATGTTCGGCTCTGGAACACATAGCGACTGCTCGCTCCAGTGTTCGCACTGCTCGTCCAGCTTGCCCCTTCTTCCGCAAGGCTGCCGCCAAATCCGAGTGCTGGGTGACCGCCGTCAAAATCTCGCGCATGTCTTCGACGGGCATCGTGGAGCTGGCACTTGGCGATGCGCAATCCAAGTCCTGCGCTGTGCTCTCTGCGCTGTGCGCCGGGTCGTCCCAGTTCTCATCTGGCATGCCTTCTGGCATCTCACCATCAACCGCGGCTTGACCAACCATGGCGCAACATGTCGTTGCTACGAGTTCCTACGGGCATCCCCCATGATCGGAAAAACGTACCAACACATTCACCATGCATCAACCACGCACGTTATCTTGACAATTCTCTCCAGGTACTTCGCCACGAATAATGCTGCCAAGGAGCTTTGTTCTGGACTACTTTCATACACCGTTCTGTTTGCCAATTCGGCGGCACGCCTGGTGTGTGCACTGTCAGCAAACCTACTATGCCAACTAACTGCCTGTGTACACGTCTCCATGCATCCAAAAGACCGGAATAGGGGATGTGACAAAGCACTTCCACTTTTGTCCGCCGCCACATTGTTGACGCAGTTGACGTAGCCCTTCGAAGTCACCCTCAGATGCGAAAAAACACGCCTACAGCAACGCGAACTGCTGCACTGCCCGGCTCCCTTGCAAACTGCTGAACAAGCTGCGAACGGTTTTCCTGACAAGCAGGGATGTGTTGTGGCGACCAAGGTTTGAAGGACATGCAAAAAAGACACACGCATTATTTGCCTTGGCAGCACCGCCTGTTTCATTCGCGTTGGATGTGCCCACCGCCATCGAGGTGTGCTTGCTTGCTTGTGGACTTCACACCATGATAAACCGTGCTTCCACCAAATTTGTTCGGGTCATCGTGCACTGCATGTCGCATAACGAACAGTATGTGTTGTTGTTGCTGCTTTGAACAGGAACATGCCATGCTGAAGCCAAAAGTGTCAAACCAAACACAGATCCAGCGAACCTGTATGCAACCCCGCGCTTGTGATGGCGCAGTCGCAACTTAGTGCGATGGAATCAGCGCAAGATGCGCAAAAGCGACAAAGGAACGCACGACTACAAGCAACTGGGCATGTCTCGACCACGGAAATGCTTTACCACACCTCTTGCACAACCGGAGCGAGCGCCCCGAAGTCACGTGCAACACACAAAAACCAAGATGAAAGGTGTTGGTCAGCTCATGCTCGCAGTACCCTGCAAAGCAACCCTCGAGCAAGCTCAAACAAGCTGCCTGGATAAGCCGTCAACCCACTGAAAAAAAATAGTCTGAAAGCTTAAGCTTTGCTGTTTGCAAGTTGCTCCAATCCAAAGCAAACCGGTGCATGCACATGGATGCACATACGTTTTATAAAGGAGCGACTACCACTTTCAAGTGTTTCCATCGCTTTGCAGGGCTTTCGCATCAGTTGTGAACGTTTGATGTCTGCATGTGTCGCTTTGGGCAAATTCAAGGCTAAAGCCCACCCAACGGAATTTTTCTTTTTTTGGCGGACCTTTTTCCCTCTGCCTACGGCCGCAGCGGCGGCAGGCCGGGCCCGGCGCAGTCAGCCAGCGACAGCACGGCCTCCAGGGGCGGCACCATGCTGGGGCCGGAAGGCAGCAGTCCTGCTGCAGCCGTGCCCAGGGCGGTCTCGGCAACGGCCACTTGGACCGCCACGGACAACAGCCCCCACCAACGGCGCGCTCAACCGCTCGCTGCGCTGCGGCGCACTGCTGCCGGAGCGCGGTAACCCCGCAGTCGCGTCAGGGTCCGCAGGAAAGTGCGGGCCTGGTCATTCCAGCGCCCCCCGACCTCATTGCCGAGGACCACGAGACGCTGGGGGCCGGGCTCGCACAGTTCGGGGTACGCGTCCCTCTTCCGGCGCTCCCTGCGGCGAAGCGAGGCCCCGTCGCAGCTGGCCGCGTGGGGGTGCGGCTCACCGTCGCGCGTTAAAGGCGACACCATAGTGGCATCGCAGCAGAGGGCGCCACCCCAGCTCGTGGCACCGTAGACCACCAGGTCCAAGCGGCGCTGGTCCCCTGCTCGCACTCCCGGCGCCGTTGTTCGCACCAGCAGCTGCTGCGGGACAACCTGGCCTTCCGGGCCGACGGCCTCGCGAGCTATGCGACGGTTCATTCACTCCGGGGTGTGGCTTTTCAGATGATCCCATCGCTTTTCCGGCTTTTAGGCATTCGTGTCCACCCCTTGTTTGCTTGAATGGAGGTGTTGGCGCTTGCTCATACGCATTTGCATTCCATGGAGGAAGGTGGCAGGATGTCGAAGGTCCGCAGACCCCTTCCACTACAGACACGCGGCCATTTTGCGCTCGTGGAAAGTTTCCCCAGGTATGTGTAGCGCGACACGCAGCTCCACGCGGCAGAAATTAAATACAGTCTGACCTAGTAACAGCCATGATTGGGTTTTTTGACTGGCGTTTTGTTTGGACCTATACCCAATGATGCCAAACGCGAAGCGCCAGTGAGCACCCCAGCTCCCATGGCACAGGCGCGGCGGCGACGCAAAACAACCCGCGCACATACTACCCGGATACTTGTAAAGGATGTGACAAGCCATTTAACGGACACTGGAGCTTGGGGTGACGTATGGGCTTGCTGGAGGACCCCCGAAGCCCTCTGTTGTCTTGATGAGCAAGAAAGGCATGCACCGTCAGCAGGCTGTGACCTTCGGTGCACTTTGCTGTCCGAGCTCGTGTGCTTTTCGCCAAGTGAGCTGCCAAGAAGTGAAGAACACAGAGCTCTCCCAAGCGAGTTTGGCAACTCCCCAAAGAGGAGGGGGGGCTGGCATGGGTGATGGGTTGGTGTGATGCGGGGTAAAGGGATCTTGGGGCCAAAGGAGAAGGCGAAGTTTCGAAGGTAGATTCTTTGAACCACCCCCCGCATGGGTCGAGGCCATGGATGCTTACCAGTCGATGTTGGCAGCCTTTCGGCGGGCACATCCCATGGACCAGCCAAACTGCCGCATGCAACCGGGCCTTTTAGGGTTGTTTTTGGGTTTTTTTCATGTTTGTGAGAGAAAATACCATGGCTTAGTTGAGGCAAATGTTGCACGAGTCACTTTGTCGAGACAGCACCTGGGTGCTGAAGGAATGGATGCAGAACACAACAAAGCGGTGGACCAAGTATCCACACCCCAGCATGTGGGAGTCCTGGATGCAGGAGTCCGCCAGAGGGGGAGGGAATGCAGAGATTTTTGGCATGATAATGCCGAATACATACTGAGCAGCGTAAACTTTCGGGTTTCGGAATACTTCGTCTTCAGTTTGCGGCGCGCGCGGCGAGGACCACATTGTTCGTTATCAAAGATCTCTGACGAACAGCTTGGCCAGAGAGACACCAACATGTTTTGCTGATATCGAGTCATGTGTCGTGACTTGCGCTCAGGATGTGGAACGCCAGACAGTTGTTAGCGAACCCAAGCCGTGGCAGAAACCGCAATTGCAAGATTTGATGAAACTTCGTCGCGGTTGCCGTGACAAGGTGGAACGTTGCAGATTGTCCAAGGAGATTCGAACGGAGTTGCGACGTGAGATGCGCCTAAAACGAAATGCAAAGTTAAATTCCGTTCTACGGGAATTTAAAGACTTCAGCCGCTTGGAGTCTGTGTGGCATGATCCCGTCAAGTCTTCCCGATCTGTTCACGCTCAAGATCCTTCTCCACATGATTTCGCCGATTATTTGTCGGGTATCTTTGCTGTAGATGAGGACAACGGCCAACATGTAGCATCCAGACGGGGATTTCACATCCCGGCTTTCACCTTGACAGAATTGAAGTATGCATTACACCGTCTTCGCAAAGGTAAATCAGCTGATTCGCAGGGTGTGGTTTTGGAAATGCTGTGTTATGCTCCCGATGACCTCTTAATTCCCCTTTTGGAGTTGTACAATCGGTTCTTGCAAGATGGACGCATGGATCCATCGTGGAAACATACCGTATTCACAATGTTGGCTAAGAAAGGAGACAGGTCCAACGTGCAAAATTGGAGGCCTGTTGCTTCGCTGAAGATGATTTACAAAGTGCTGTCCAAATTGGTGCATGGACGATTGCAACCCCCTTTGGACAAAGAGCAATCAGTTGAGCAAATGGGATTTCGACCCGGCTCTAGCGTTGATCATGCGTTATGTGTATTTGACACTGTATGTGCAAAGGCGATCGAATTCGACTTCGATGTTTGGTTTGCCAGCATTGATTTGCGAAAAGCTTTCGACCAAATCCATCATGAAAGCTTATTCAAGGTTGCAAGAGCAAGGAGTTCCCACTGAGTACATCGCTTTGTTGAGGACTTTGTATTCTCGACAAACTGGATCTGTCGCTGATAGCCGTGCTTTTCCAATTCGACGCGGAGTGAAGCAAGGTGATGTCATCAGTCCACTTTTGTTCAATGCTGGGCTAGAACACGCAATCAGGATGTGGAAGGCACATTTGCTTGACCTCAGCATCAACATCGGCTCTACCGCGAATTTGACTGATGTGCGTTTCGCCGACGACTTAATGCTATATGCCAAGTCGTGGCGTGAGCTTGTTATGACTTGGCGTCATTTGGCTTATCGTTGAATGCAGCGAAAACTTTTTCTTTTTTTTCGAATTTTCACAACAGCCATTTCGCCAGAAGTTGCTTACGTTGACGTTGGCGGTGAAATGATCCAAGTTTTGGATGACGGTGAAACACATATGTACCTTGGACGGAAAATTTGTGGCGACCTATGACGCCAATCAAGAACAGAGCTGGCGCATCGTATCAGTGCAGCGTGGGGAAAGTTCAATAAGCTGAGATTCATATTCGTGAACAAGCACCTGTCAATCAAAGGCAGATTGAAGCTTTTCAACGCCGTGGTCACTCCTACGGCACTGTTTGGACTTTCCACATTGGCACTGACGGCGCGACAGCTGGAACAGCTTTTTTTTTTTTTCTCTCACGCACCTTTTTACTCGCGGGGAGTCTGCTCTCTTCCAGCTGCTGCGGCTGCTGCTGCTGCTGCTGCTGCGGCTGCTACTACGAGCAGTGGGTCTAGGGCTGCAGCGGCCCATGCCCCGGCCTGCTGGGCTGGGGCGGGGGGGCACCCGCAAGGAGCTCCCCCAGAGCGAGCTCCTGCCCGTCGAGCGGGTCAACCGGCTCACCCACTGGAAGCTCTAGCAGCGTGCACGCGTGGGCGCGGAGCGCCGCGAGCGCTGCCAGGGTGGTCCACCGGTGCACCATCGCTTGGCGGGCCGCTGCCGC